AGATTCAGATTCAGATTATTTTCTCTTTGTTTATTATTATTGTATACTGAAGATGATCTACGAAGTAGACCGAAATATCTGTTGTATAAATAATTTTGTATAAAAAATTAAAATATAACTATATATTTAACACTGTTTAAAAAGTGTAATTTTTTTATTTTATTTATAAAAAAAACATTTTTCTGAATTTATGTGTTAAATAAACCACCTAAGCCCTGTAACAAATATAAAAACTAATTGAATAGTAGTCGTAATAACAATTTATTATAAATTCTATTACTCTTTTAAAAATAAGCTATAAATATGATATGAATTTTTGTGTCATATTTTTCTTTCAGTGTTTCTCCCAAGTACTCAATTAATTCGTAAATAAAGGACCCCAAAATTGATCCGATCACAAAATACATGAAACATAGAGCCTTAAAGTGATTTACGAAAACTGACAGGCTTACCAATACCGCATTATTGAATCTCAGAGTGGTTACGGGCTCCTCGGTGAGATATGCAGATCTGAGCTCAATTATTGCTTAGTCTTATGAACTGATAAACAATAATCCAATCAAGGCGTAGAAAGGGGTTATAGCACAGTTAATAGAGATTAGAAGTGCTTAATTGCATTGACTCAACTAGTATCAACATAATAATTCTTTAAAAATAAGTCATAATTATGATATGAATTTTTGTGCCATATATTTCTTTCAGTGCTTTTCCTAAGTACTCAATTAATTCGTAAATATTATTATAGTAAATAATTTTTGAAAAATAAATCATAAATAATTTTTTCCGTCAACACGAAAGTAAACCAAGAAAAGGCATTTGAACATTTAATTAAGCTCAACGAACCTTTTGTGCAGCTGTGCCTAAAATATCCTTTCGAAATTCCTTCCACGCTTCCACAGACTTAAAGCGTTGCTTCTTCCGTTAAATATTTCAATTGAGCCTTTAAAATGCTTTCACTAATGCAATTTAGGGCTATTTAATGAGCTTCACTCGAAAGGGCTTGGCCTACAACGGATTTCTCGGATTTCTCGGAAACACTTCAAGTTTAAAGCACTTTTCACAAAAATTAAATTTTAATTAATTTTGATGCGCTTTCAACTGCATGAACATTCCATGTAAATGTTAGGAAAAATATTTAAATTTTCAGTTTTTTTTTATTTATTTCCAAGAATTTTTTTTTATATTTTTTTAAGGATTTTTTTTTTCTGGAATTATATTTGAATATTAAAAAATAATTGCTTGAAGTAATGCAAGGAATTCTACAACAACAATTAAGCACGCTCACATGTTTCCACTATGCGAACACAAACACGAAATCAACGTACTCTACGTGCGTAGACAAAGGAGGAAATTTAGTGTTTACTTTATTGTGTCACTTCACACTGCACTACTTCGCAAGCACGCCCGCTTTAAGCCAGGAATGAACTCACTAGGACACAAAGGCACAGTAGAAATGTGCCTATTTTGTATTTTTTTTTTTTGATTACCCTAAAATGGCTTTAATATGCACAATGTTCGAGCTCCCGAAAGACATAAAAGACAGGAATAATTCACAAATAAAATGAGAATATTTTGAATAGACAACGCGAAGTACACATATACGTTTTTATTTAACACAACCGCAATGCTACTGCCGCGTTACTGTGTTGTGCCGCCAAAAGATTGCCACAAACTGAAATCACAAATTTTTTTCCACACTGAACACTGCAAGGAAAATTCAAAATTCGTTGCTTGCTTTGCTTTGCTTTGCTTTGCTGTATTATGAGGCCAATGTCCGTGCGTTACGAGTGCTTTAACTGTATTGTATGAGTGAAGAAAAGTGCGCTGCGCTAATAGCTTTGCACTGTAAGCCGAAAGCCAATGTAGCACACAAATAGCTAGCTTTGTTGTGAGGTGCGCTCTCATTTTCGCTCCCTACACAATTGAGTGAACACTCACTCAAGTGCTCTCATAAAAATTACTTGACAAAAAGGAATTTTGCTGAATTCAGTTCAGCATAAAATGAGTTTATGAGTGCGAAATGCTGAATGCTTTGCATATGACGTCACAACAGAGTTGAACACAGTTTGTCGGCATTTGTGATAAATGGGTTGCATATGCTGATTTGTAAGTGTATTTTTGTTGTTGTTGTAGTTGTGTTGTTGTTGTTAATGTTGCTGTTGCTATTGGTATTGGTGTTGTAAATGTAAAATGTGCAGTTATGCCATCACAAAGCCAAATACAATTCCTGTGTGTGCCGTTTTCATATCGTGTTTCTTTGTTTGTGTTTTTATTTTTATTTTTTTTTTTGATTTTGATTTCTTTTTTTCTGTTTTATTTTGTTTTGTTTTTCGTTTCTAGTTTTTATTAAATTTTGTACTTTAATGTCGTCATTTTATTTTTGATTTTTTTTGTTTTTATGATGGCGTAGTAAAAATAGAAGAATTTTATTTTTTTGTTTTTGTGTTGGTTTATGCGTGTGAATTTTCTACTTGCAAGTGTGTGTGTTTGTGTGTGTATGTTATGTATTTTTGTGTGTTCGCTTGCAAGCCTGTAAAAATACGCGAATACATACAGACACTTATTTTTTATTGCCACAGCATGGAAGGAAATTTTGGTTACTCATACATTTTGTATAAATAAATAATTTCGTATCTGTAAAAAACATTCAAAAAATTAAAAAAATTTATTTTTGTTTTTGTCTTTTTTTTGATTGTTTTTTTAAATAACGAAAATGGTTTTGCATAAATGCGATATTATGCAGGAGAAGTGATTTTTACCGCAATGTTGCAATGTATTTTTGCACTTATCGGTTTAATATTGCGGAATAATTTAAATTTTAAATTAATTTTTGAAAAGTATAAAATATAACTCAAAGAAAGGTCAGAATTTTTCACTTTAGATATTTAATTAAAATTTTTTTTTAGAGTTTTACGCTAACTCCAAAGAATGAATAAAGAGTAGAATATTTGAAAAATTGATATATTTTGGTTTTTTTGAACTTAACTGAACTTTAAAGGCTAAATAATTTGTATCAGACGTAGCGAATTTAAATATATGTAATATAGTAATATATATCTGTTAATGAAATATATTACATAAGTTATATATATAAGTTATATAATATGAGTTATTATATAAAAATATAAATTTAAAAACACGACACGGCCCGTCAAAATTTAAACATATATATAACAATAAAATTCAAACTGCGAAACGTAGAAACTGACTAGTTTTGAGAGAAAACACAGAAAGCAAAACAGCATCAAAATACAAACAACACAAATTCAATCCGATCACCAAACAACTTCGCATGCGTAGGTGTGCAGTGCAATGACGCAATGTTTGTGTCAACTAATATAAAATTTCATCTGTATTTAAGTGAAGAAACCAAAATTCAATTGTTCCTAACGTTTCCTGTAATTTTTACTTGAGCACATATAATCGCATATATCGTTTTTCATAAGATAGAAAGGGTTAACTGATATCTTATCGCATTAAGAAGTATAAATGATTCCTGGCACTGAAATTTATGTAGAAGTATAGTAAATCTGATTAGCTCAAAAAATTGGGTCTAAGTGTGACATCCCCAACAAATGTCGAAATAGGATTAAGAGAAATAGAAATAGGCTGAGGCTTTAGATACTATGCAAAACTTGAATCTTTTCGGGGAAGTGCACATAGTTCTTAAAAGTGGTTATCTAATATAAAGAGTCAATTTCATGGTACTCTTAATACATGTAGTAGTATAACGCAATAATAAATGCCCTATTAGAACTACAAGGAAACGCACTGGTACTAATAGAAGCTATACATTTGGATGTATTTTCCTAATTTTACCATGATATTATTCAGATATTGACATGATGTCATTAGTATTTAACTAATATTATAATACTATTAATAGATAATAATAACAATTAGCAGTAAAACCCTGGTGCTTGAGTTACGCTTGTCTTGGAAAACCATTTGCTTGTTTCGTTTTTGCTATTTTTAGAGCTTTAGAATAGCACTTTTGATTTTTATATTATTACTTTTGTATATTATTAAACTTAAATATACACTACTTGCATGGGTAAAATAGAGAAGTGTCCTTCATAATTGATATTTATTTTAATTTAGTAGGACAATTCATATGCAGTCTGATATTTCAAGGTGTGTCGCATTTACTCTAGTAAATCAAGTTGAGAAGAATTTCAGGAAAAAACAGTATTAATTCGTATAATTAAAACATTTCCATTAATCAAAAAATATTGCCACTGTTTACATTTTTTTGGCAGAAAAAATTATTTAAGATATAGTAATGTAGTTAAAAAGTTTTTTTTTTGCTTGGTTGGTTTATACTTGAAAATATCATTTATTGGTAAGCAATGTTTTTTTCTGAAGACGTATTGAAAAGTCTTTTTGTATCAGGAAAAAAAGTACTAATTATTAGTACTATTAGTATTATAATAATTATAATTATTATTATAATCAAAAGATACCCATTAGTCAAATAATAAAATAATTATTTGTTTGTGTACTTATTCAAAAATATCTCTATGTACATAAATTTTATTGGGACTTTAACAAAAAATATATTCTCAAATGGCGTTTTAGATCTAAAAAGTTATGTTTATGTCTTTCTAAGCCAATTGGAACAGTACAATTTCCTGTTTACTTAGAAATTTAAAAATTTTAAAAAAAATTATCAAAAACGAATTTAAATGAAAAATTAACAAAGATCTTATGTGCATTTAGATTCTAAAATTTTTTATAGATTTTTTTTTGCACACAAATATAGTTTATTATTTTAAGAATTAAGCAAAATCTTTGGTAAATTCACAAAAAAGTTGCTCATTAATTTGTACATAAAAGTAGTCTAAAAAAAGAATCAAGTTCATAGAGATAAATCTTGGCTTATCTAGCTTAAACTGATATGAATAGTAGATAGAAATGATAGCAAAGATAATATTTTCTGGTATAAATAGTTCTCAGTTTTTGTACAAAACCTAAGTGCTTCAAAAACTTTAAATTTAATTGGTCGAAAATGTTGTACTCATTCGGAGTTGTTGTCTTCATTCAAATAGTTTTTATATTAATCAATAATACTCCATTTGCGACTTCAACTCTAGTCACTGACAGTGAATGGCTGCAGTATAAGGTAATCCACTTTTAAGACAACTCATAAACATATTATTGAACATCTTTTCTAATAGGTGCAGTACAATAAAATGTACTCTAGTGTAACAGCAGAAAACTTGGCGCGTTATAACTTCAATAATAACAAAATACTTATCGATATACATAATGTGAAATATGCTACCAAGTCAGTTACATACAAACTGGGCGTAAACCAATTTACAGATATGAGCTTAGTAGATTTTAAATCATTATTTCCTGTAGCGGTTTACCCGACTTTTTCTTACGATGTTGCGCCCCAAGCAGTCAACTCAACACCTATGTATTTTAATCCTATCAAGGAGTTAGGAATTATATCCATGATTGAAGACCAAGGCACCGCTTGTAACAGTGGTTGGGCTTATGCGGCTGCAAAATCAATAGAGTTAGGGTATGCATATCAAAATGGTACTCCACCACTAGTTTCTTTATCCGCACAAAACCTGATCGATTGTGCGGGTCGTTCAACTACTTGTAAAACACAAGTACCACAAACAGCATTTGATTTTCTGTCTATCTATGGTCAAAGTTTACATACAATAATTAATTATCCAAATAGGAATACACAAAGTGAACAAGGCATGTGTCTACAAAGCTATGGACCTTATACTAGATTATATAGTTATGTACGTCTTAACAATACTGATGACAGCGACTTATTAAAATATGTTGGGAACTCATATCCAGTGGTGATTGAATTCAATCCAGCCTCATTTGAATTTATGCACTATGCTGAAGGAGTCTTTAAGCAGCCTTCAACAGGCAAAGGATCACATTTTATGGTTGTAATTGGTTATGAATCTGATCCAACGACTGGACTTAATACTTGGTTAATTCAGAATTCGTTTAATACTTCCTGGGGTGAAAATGGTTACTTCCGTATTGTAAGAAACCAAGTCGACATTATTAGTAAATCTGCTATTTATCCTATTATAGTATTATAATGGGATATATATGTATACATGTGTATTATATAACATCCAATTTATATATATTTAGCAGTGCCAAAACAACTATAAAATTAATTTTCATTTTTATTCAAAATTTTAATAATTATTTCAACTTTATGTCATGTATATCGCGATATATTTATCATGATATATATTTTGAGTTATCATGATATATATATCATGATATCATGATATATATATCATGATTGATGATGAAATATATCATGATTTATCCTGAAATATGACATGATTTATTGTGTTATATATCATGATTTATCATGTTATGTGTAATGATTTGAAATGATATATATCAAGATTTATCCTGATATATATCATATGATATATTTTTTTTTTGTTTGAAAAAAAAATGTTAATAAATATTTTTATTCATCCAAGTAATGAAATAAATGATTTTGAGTTTTATTTCTATATATTTATTTAAGAATTGATCAAATTACAAATGGTCTATTGGAGATTTATATTGGAATATATAGTATTTTTTGATATATTTCTTAGTATTTTGAATGCCGTAAAATTTCTTAAGTTCGTATAGCTAACTGATGATAAAGATTAATATTTTTAAACCTAATGACGATTAATGATGTACGATAAATCAACTTATTTTTACCTTTCTATTCGTCTGTCTGTCAAAAGTTTTATATGTCCGTCTGCCTGGTTTTCGATAAACAAGTTCCTTAACTTTCCACATTCCAAGTCACTAACGAGTTTAAATGCTTGATTGTTCATATAATGTTGCTTCCATATCATTATATATACGAGTATCTAATGTTCTGATAAAGAATCGCAAAGGAATCGATCAGGTATTCCATTATATCATTTTCATTTATTCTACCATTCGCATTTTTATGCTTTTAAAAGAATAACATCATTACAAAACTTTCCATTTTCTTTAATTCGAAGGAGAGTTATCACTCGTTCACCTCAGATTAGTATGTTAAAACACATATACAAGTAACACAAGGGACAGAAGAATGGAAAATAGATGCGGTAAGGTAGGAGCAATGAAAAGAAGTAGTTCAGAAAGCAGTGGTGGTCGACTCTGAACCGTTTAGCTAAGAAAAAGCAATGGAAATATGAAATTGGTTAAGATAGATTGATTGATAGATAGAAGATATGATCGATTAAAATCGATAAGAAAAAATGGCTGTGAAAGCAGCAATTCAACTCGTATAGTTATTTTAATGAAGA